CTAATAACGCCCTGATTTCACTAATTAACCACTAATTACTGATTAATTAATGACTTGGGCAGGTGGAGGCGCAGCTGCAGGTGAATTACGAGCTCAAAAAGACAACTTAGTCCTTAATTAGCTCTAATAATTGCCTAATAACTGCCTAATTTTGCCTGGAAACGCCGCGATTTCGCCTAATAATGCCCTGATTTCACTAATTAACGATTAATTACTGATTAATTAACGATCTGGACAGGTGGAGGCGCAGCTGCAGGTGGTGCAGAAGCTGGAGGAGAAGGAGCGGGGCCTGCAGAGCGCCCTGGGCGCCGTGGAGAAGGAGCTGAGCCTGCGCTCGCAGGCGCTCGAGCTGCACAAGAGGAAGGTGAGCAGGGCCACACGCGTGTCACACGCGTGTCACACGTGTGTAAACGGGGACCCCAGGTGTGTTCAGGTGTGTCACAGGTGTGTCACAGGTGTGTCACAGGTGTTAACGGGGACCCCAGGTGTGTCACAGGTGCGTCACAGGTGTGTTCAGGTGTGTCACAGCTGAGCTGAGCCTGCGCTCGCAGGCGCTCGAGCTGCACAAGAGGAAGGTGAGCGCCACACGTGTGTCACACGTGTGTCACAGGTGTGTAACACGTGTGTAAATAGGGACCCCAGGTGTGTCACAGGGACCCCAGGTGTGTTCAGGTGTGTCACAGGTGTGTCACAGGTGTGTTCAGGTGTGTCACAGCTGAGCTGAGCCTGCGCTCGCAGGCGCTCGAGCTGCACAAGAGGAAGGTGAGCGGGGCCACACGCGTGTCACACGCGTGTAACATGTGTAAACGGGGACCCCAGGTGTGTCACAGGGACCCCAGGTGTGTCACAGGTGTGTCACAGGTGTGTCAGGTGTGTCACAGGGACCCCAGGTGTGTCACAGGTGTGTTCAGGTGTGCCCCAGGTGTGTCACACGTGTGTAACATGTGTGTCCAGGTGTGTCACAGGTGTGTAACATGTGTGTCCAGGTGTATCCCAGGTGTATCCCAGGTGTATCCAGGTGTATCCAGGTACACCCAGGTGTATCCCCGGTGTATCCAGGTGTATGTAAATGGGTCTCAGGTGTAGATTTTATTAATGATTAATTGATTTTATAAATAATTTAATGATTTTATTATTAATTAATGAGTTTCTGGTAATTATTAATTATTATTAATGAGTGCTTAATACCCATTAATAGTTTCAGATTCTAATTATCAGCTAATCATGTTCTGCTTTCACTAATTAGTGGTTAATTAGTGACAGGTGCAGGTGGCACAGAAGCCCAAAAAGACTCATTAGCAATTAATTAGCCCTAATAATTAGCTAATAATCACCTAATTATGGCTGAAACTGCGCCTACTTCAGCCATTAATGACCCAATTTCACTAATTACAGATTAATTAGTAATTAATGGCTGACTTGTGCGTGGCTGCAGGTGGAGCAGGAGCTCGAGAGGACCAATTAGTCCTTAATTAGCTCTAATAATTGCCTAATAACGGCCTAATTTGGTCTATTAATGAGCTAATTTCACTAATTAACGACTAATTATGAACTAATTAATGGCCTGGGCAGGTGGAGGCGCAGCTGCAGGTGGAGCAGGATGTTAATTAGTGACAGGTGCAGGTGGCACAGAAGCCCAAAAAGACTCATTAGCAATTAATTAGCCCTAATAATTAGCTAATAATCACCTAATTATGGCTGAAACTGCGCCTATTTCAGCCATTAACGACCCAATTTCACTAATTATAGATTAATTAGTAATTAATGATTGACTTGTGCGTGGCTGCAGGTGGAGCAGGAGCTCGAGAGACCAATTAGTCCTTAATTAGCTCTAATAATTGCCTAATAACGGCCTAATTTGGTCTATTAATGAGCTAATTTCACTAATTAACGACTAATTATGAACTAATTAATGGCCTGGGCAGGTGGAGGCGCAGCTGCAGGTGGAGCAGGATGTCAAAAACACCAATTAGTCCTTAATTAGCTCTAATAATTGCCTAATAACGGCTTAATTGTGCCTAGAAACACCCGAATTTTGTCTATTAATGAGCTAATTTCACTAATTAGCGACTAATTACTGACTAATTACCACTCTGTGTAGGTGGAGGCGCAGCTGCAGGTAGAGCAGGAGCTCAGAAACCCCAATTAGTCCTTAATTAGCTCTAATAATTGCCTAATAACAGCCTAATTTTGCCCAGAAACACCGTGATTTCGCCTAATAACGCCCTAATTTCACTAATTAGTAATTAATTATGGATTAATTAATGGCCTGGACAGGTGGAGGCGCAGCTGCAGGTAGAGCTGGAGCTCAGAAACACCAATCAGTCCTTAATTAGCTCTAATAATTGCCTAATAACAGCCTAATTTTGCCCAGAAACACCGTGATTTCGCCTAATAACGCCCTGATTTCACTAATTAGTAATTAATTATGGATTAATTAATGGCCTGGACAGGTGGAGGCGCAGCTGCAGGTGGAGCAGAAGCTGGAGGGGAGGGATAAGACCCTCATTAGCTCTAATAATTGCCTAATAACTGCTTAATTGTGCTTAGAAACACCGAAATTTCACCTAATAACGCCCTAATTTCACTAATTAACTATTAATTACTGATTAATTAATGGCCCACACAGGTGGAGGCGCACCTGCAGGTGGATTACGAGCTCAAAAAGACAACTTAGTCCTTAATTAGCTCTAATAATTGTCTAATAACGGCCTAATTGTGCCTAGAAACGTCGTGATTTCGCTTAATAACGCCCTAATTTCATTAATTAACGATTAATTACTGACTAATTAATGGCCTGGACAGGTGGAGGCGCAGCTGCAGGTGGAACAGGAACTCAAGAACCCCAATTAGTCCTTAATTAGCTCTAATAATTGCCTAATAACTGCCAATTTTGCCTAGAAACGCCCTAATTTTGTTTATTAATGAGCTAATTTCACTAATCAGGTGTGCCCAGGTGTGCCCAGGTGTATCCAGGTGTACTCAGGTGTATCTCAGATGTATCCCAGGTGTGCCCAGGTGTGTGTAAATGGATCTCAGGTGTGCCCAGGTGTATCCCAGGTGTATGTAAATGGGTCTCAGGTGTATCCAGGTGCACCCAGGTGCACCCAGGTGTGCCCAGGTGCGTGTAAATGGATTTGAGGTTTATCCAGGTGTGCTGAGGTGTAACTCAGGTGTATTGAAATAGATCCCGGGTGTGCCCAGGTGTATCTCAGATGTATCTAAGAGGGTCTCAGGTGTATCCCAGGTGTATCCAGGTGTATCCAGGTGTATGTGGGATGTATCTAAGTGGAGCTCAGGTGTATCAAGGTATATCCAGGTGTGTGTAAATGGATCTCAGGTGTGCCCAGGTGTATCCCAGGTGTATGTAAATGGGTCTCAGGTGTATCCAGGTACACCCAGGTGTATCCAGGTGTATCCAGGTGTATCCGAGGTACATCCAGGTGTATGTAAATGGGTCTCAGGTATATCCCAGGTGTATCCAGGTACACCCAGGTGTATCCCAGGTGTATCTCAGTGGGTCTCAGGTGTATCTCAGGTGTATGTAAATGAGTCCCAGGTGTATCCAGGTGTATCCAGGTGTAGGTAAATGAGTCTGAGGTGTATCCAGGTACACCCAGGTGTATCTCAGGTGTGTCTAGGTACACTCAGGTGTATCTCAGGTGTGCTCAGGTGTAACTCAGGTGTATGTAAATGGGTCTCAGGTGTATCCAGGTACACCCAGGTGTATCCAGGTGTATCCCAGGTGTAACCCAGGTGCATTTCAGGCAGTCGAGGCAGCCCAGCTGGCCGAGGACCTGCGTGCGCAGGGCGAGCACGTGCAGGCGCGGCTGCGGGAGCTGCAGGTGTGCCCAGGTGTGCCCAGGTGTATCCCAGGTGTGCCCAGGTGTATCCCAGGTGTATGTAAATGAGTCCCAGGTGTATCCAGGTGTACCCAGGTGTATGTAAATGGATCTCAGGTGTATCAAGGTGTGCCCAGGTGTATCCAGGTGTATGTAAATGCATTTCAGGTGTACCCAGGTGTACCCAGGTGTGTCTCAGGTGTATCTGAATGGGTCTCAGGTGTATCCAGGTGTATCCCAGGTGTATGTAAATGGGTCTCAGGTGTATCCAGGTGCACCCAGGTGCACCCAGGTGTGCCCAGGTGCGTGTAAATGGATTTGAGGTTTATCCAGGTGTGCTGAGGTGTAACTCAGGTGTATTGAAATAGATCCCGGGTGTGCCCAGGTGTATCTCAGATGTATCTAAGAGGGTCTCAGGTGTATCCCAGGTGTATCCAGGTGTATCCAGGTGTATGTGGGATGTATCTAAGTGGAGCTCAGGTGTATCAAGGTATATCCAGGTGTGTGTAAATGGATCTCAGGTGTGCCCAGGTGTATCCCAGGTGTATGTAAATGGGTCTCAGGTGTATCCAGGTACACCCAGGTGTATCCAGGTGTATGTAAATGAGTCCCAGGTGTATCCAGGTGTGTCCAGGTGTATGTAAATGGATCTCAGGTGTGCCCAGGTGTATCCCAGGTGTATGTAAATGAGTCTCAGGTGTATCCCAGGTGTAACCCAGGTGCATTTCAGGCAGTCGAGGCGGCCCAGCTGATCTCAGGTGTATCTCAGGTGTATGTAAATGAGTCCCAGGTGTATCCAGGTGTATCCAGGTGTAGGTAAATGAGTCTGAGGTGTATCCAGGTACACCCAGGTGTATCTCAGGTGTGTCTAGGTACACTCAGGTGTATCTCAGGTGTGCTCAGGTGTAACTCAGGTGTATGTAAATGGGTCTCAGGTGTATCCAGGTACACCCAGGTGTATCCAGGTGTATCCCAGGTGTAACCCAGGTGCATTTCAGGCAGTCGAGGCGGCCCAGCTGGCCGAGGACCTTCGGGCGCAGGGCAGCACGTGCAGGCGCGGCTCCGGGAGCTCCAGGTGTGCCCAGGTGTGCCCAGGTGTGCCCAGGTGTATCTAAGTGGATCTGAGTCGTATCCAGGTGTATTCTAGGTGTGTCCAGGTGTATTTAAATGGGTCTCAGGTGTATCAAGGTGTGCCCAGGTGTATCCCAGGTGTAGGTAAATGGGTCTCAGGTGTATCCAGGTGTACCTAGGTGTATCTCAGGTGTGTCTAGGTACACCCAGGTGTATCTCAGGTGTGGTCAGGTGTAACTCAGGTGTATGTAAATGGGTCCCAGGTGTATCCAGGTGTGCCCAGGTGTATCCCAGGTGTACCCAGGTACACCCAGGTGTATCCCAGGTGTATCCCAGGTGTATCCCAGGTGTAACCCAGGTGTCTCTCAGGCAGTAGAAGCAGCCCAGCTGGCCGAGGACCTGCGCGCGCAGGGCGAGCACGTGCAGGCGCGGCTCCGTGAGCTCCAGGTGTGCGCGGCCGAGAACCGCGCGGCCAAGGACAAGGAGTCGCTGAGCCTCAAGAGAGCCCAGGTGGGGATTTGGGGCATTTCGGGCGATTTTGGGGAGATTTGAGGGGATTTGGGGTTTTTTTTGGGGAATTTCAGGGTGTTTCAGAGGTTTTTTGGTAGATTTTGGGGGATTTTTTAGGGATTTTTGGGGATATTTTGGGGGTTTTGTGGGGATATTGGGAGTTTTTGGAATTTTTGGAGATTTTTTGGGAGTTCTGGGCATGTTTTGGGGGTTTTGTGGGAGTTTTTGGGGAGTTTTGGAGTTTTTGGGGGTTTTGGGGGGGATTTTTAGGAGTTTTGGGGATGTTTTGAGGGTTTCGTGGGGATTTTTGGGGATTTTTTAAGTGAATTTTTTAGGATTTTTTGGGGAATTTTAAGACATATTTTTGGGGAATATTTTGGGGAACATTTTTGGGGATAATTTGGGACCATTTTAGGATAATTATTTGGAATATTGGGGAATATTTTTGGGAATATTTTGGGGAATATTTTTGGGGATTTTTGGGAAAATCTTTTGGGGAATTTTTGGGGAACATTTTTTGGGAATTTTTGGGGTAATTTGGGATCATTTTGGGAACATTTTTTTGGGATTTTGGGAATATTTTTGGGAATGTTTTGGGGATTTTTTGGGACCATTTTGGGATTTTTTGGGACCATTTTGGGAATTTTTGGGGGGCATTTCTGGGAATTTTGGGGAGTTATTGTGAGAATTTTTGGGGTAATTTTTAGGAATTTTGGGGGACATTTTTGGGAACATTTTTGGGGCATAATTTGGGACCATTTTAGGAACGTGTTTTGGAATTTTGTGGAACTTTGGGAATATTTTTGGGGGATTATTTGTGACTGATTTGGGGATTTTTTGGGGGAATTTTTTGGGATTTTTTTGGGACCATTTTTGGGTCACTTTTGGCGGTTTTCGGGGCAGGAGGAGCTGTCGCGGCTGCGCCGGAAGCTGGAGAAGCAGCGCAAGGTCGAGGTCTACGCCGACGCCGACCAGATCCTGCAGGAGGAGATCAAGGAGTACCGGGTGAGCCTGCCGGGACCTTCCGGAACCTTCTGGAACTTTTTGGGACCTTCTGGGAGCTTCTAGGAGCTTCCAGAACCTTCTGGAACTTTTTGGGACCTTCTGGGAGCTTCTAGGAGCTTCCAGAACCTTCTGGAACTTTTTGGGACCTTCTGGGAGCTTCTAGGAGCTTCCAGAACCTTCTGGAACTTTTTGGGACCTTCCAGAACCTTCTAGAACCTTCTGGAATCTTCTGGGAGCTTCTGGAACCTTCTGGAACTTTTTGGGACCTTCTGGGACGTTTTGGGACCTTCTAGAACCTTCTGGAATCTTCTGGGAGCCTCTGGAACCTTCCAGGACCTTTTGGAACCTTCTGGGTCCTTGTGGAACCTTCCGGGAGTTTCTGGGACCTTTCAGAACCTTCGTGGAGCTTCTAGGAGGTTCCAGAACCTTCCAGGAACTTTTGGAACCTTCCGGGACTTTCTAGGAGCTTCCTGGAGCTTCCAGAACTTTCTAGTTAAGACGTATTTTTGGGGAATATTTTTGGGAACATTTTTGGGGATAATTTGGGACCATTTTAGGATAATTGTTTGGAATATTGGGGAATATTTTTGGGAATATTTTTGGGAATATTTTGGGGAATATTTTTGGGGATTTTTGGGAAAATCTTTTGGGGAATTTTTGGGGAACATTTTTTGGGAATTTTTGGGGTAATTTGGGATCATTTTGGGAACATTTTTTTGGGATTTTGGGAATATTTTTGGGAATGTTTTGGGGATTTTTTGGGACCATTTTGGGATTTTTTGGGACCATTTTGGGAATTTTTGGGGGACATTTCTGGGAATTTTGGGGAATATTTTTGGCAATTTTTGGGAGTAATTTTGAGAATTTTTGGGATTCTTTTTTGGCAATTTTGGGGAATTTTTGGGGATAATTTGGGACCATTTTGGGAACGTTTTTTGGAATTTTGGAGAATTTTGGGAATATTTTGGGGGGATTTTCTGGGAATTTTTGGGGGAATTTCTTTGGAATTTTTTGGGAATTTTCTGGGACTTTTTGGGATCATTTTTGGGACCGTTTTTGGGTCACTTTTGGCCGTTTTCGGGGCAGGAGGAGCTGTCGCGGCTGCGCCGGAAGCTGGAGAAGCAGCGCAAGGTCGAGGTCTACGCCGACGCCGACCAGATCCTGCAGGAGGAGATCAAGGAGTACCGGGTGAGCCTGCCGGGACCTTCCGGAACCTTCTGGAACCTTCTGGGACCTTCTGGAACTTTTTGGGACCTTCCAGGACCTTCCAGAACTTTCCAGGAGCTTCTGGGACCTTCTGGGAGCTTCTAGGAGCTTCCAGAATTTGCTGGAACTTTTTGGGACCTTCCAGAACCTTCTGGAACTTTTTGGGACCTTCCAGAACTTTCCAGGAGCTTCTGGGAGTTTCTGGGAGCTTCTAGGAGTTTCCAGAACCTTCTGGAACCTTCTGGAACTTTTTGGGACCTTCCGGAACCTTCTGGAACTTTTTGGGAGCCTCTGGGATCTTCCAGAACCTTTCAGAAGCTTCTGGAACCTTCCAGGAGCTTTTGGAACCTTCCAGGATCTTTCAGGAGGTTCCAGAACCTTTCAGGACCTTTCAGGAGCTTGTGGGAGCTTCCGGGACCTTCCAGAACTTTTCTGGATCTCCTCGGAGGTTCCAGAACCTTCCAGGAACTTCTGGAACCTTCCGGGACCTCCCTGGAGCTTCCAGAACCTTCCAGAACCTTCCAGGAGATTTTGGAACATTTTGGGACCTTCCAGGAGCTTCTGGAGCCTTTTGGAACCTTCCGGAAGCTTCCAGCAGCTTCTGGAACTTTTCGGGACTTTTCGGGAGTTTCTGGACATTTTTGGGATTTTTCAGGAGGTTCCGGAACCTTCCAGGAGCTTTTGGAACCTTGCAGGACCTTCCAGAATCTTCTAGGAGGTTTTGGAACCTTTTGGGGCTTTCCAGGAGCTTCTGGAACTTTCTGGGACTTTCCAGAAGCTTCCAGGAGGTTTTGGAACCTTTTGGGGCTTTCCAGGAGCTTCTGGAACCTTCCGGGACCTTCCAGGAGCGTTTGGGGCCTCCCGGGATCTTCCAGGACCTTGAGGAACCGTGGGTGGAGCTTCCGGGACTCTGGGTGGAGCTTGGGTGGAGCCCCAGTGACTTTTTGGGGGCGTTTTCTAGAACTTTCCGGAGCACCGGTTGCCCGCTAACGACCTTCAACGACCTTGGGTGACCTGATAACGACGTCAGTTGACCTCAAACAACCTTGGTTGACCGTTAACGATCTTCAATGACTTTGGTTGACCTCGAATGACCTTGGTTGGCCTTCGACGACCTTGGCTGACCATTAATGACCTTCAATGACCTTGGTTGACCATCAGTGACCTTCAATGACCTTGGTTGACCTCAAATGACCTTGTTTGACTGTCCGTGGCCTTCAATGACCTTGGTTGACCATTAACGATCTTCAAGGACCTTGGTTGACCTCAAATGACCTTGGTTGATCATTAATAACCTTTAACGACCTCAGTTGACCTCGAACAACCTTGGTTGACCATTAACAGCCTTAAATTACTTTGGTTGACTTCAAAACACCTCACTTGACCCTTAACGACCTTCAATGACTTTGGTTGGCCATGAATGACCTTGGTTGACCCTTAACGACCTTCAATGACTTTGGTTGACCTTGAATGACCTTGGTTGACCCTTAACGACCTTCAATGACTTTGGTTGACCTTGAATGACCTTGGTTGACCATTAATGAACTTTAATGATCTCAGTTGACCTCAAAGCACCTTGGTTGACCCTTAACGACCTTCAACAACTTTGGTTGAGCTCAAATGACCTTGGTTGGCCATTAATGATCTTCAAGGACTTTGGATGACCGTTAATGACCTTCAGCGATTTTGGTTGACCTTGAATGACCTTGGTTGACCATTAATGACTTTCAATGACCTTGTATGACCTTGGTTGACCTCAAATGCCGTTGGTTGGCCATGAATGACCTTCAATGGTCTTGATTGACCTTTAATTTCCTTGGTTGACCATTAATGACCTTCAACGACCTCAGCTGGCCTTGAATGACCTTGGTTGACCATCGATCACCTTCAGTGACCTTGGTTGGCCATTAATGACCTTCAATGATCTTGGTTGACCATTAGTGACCTTCAATGACTTTGGTTGACCATTAATGACCTTCAGTGACCTTGGTTGGCCATTAATGACCTTCAATGACCTTGGTTGGCCATTAATGACCTTCAATGACTTTGGTTGACCATTAATGACCTTCAGTGACCTTGGTTGGCCATTAATGACCTTCAATGACTTTGGTTGACCATTAATGACCTTCAGTCGGTGGTCATCAGTGACCACCCAATGGTCACTCAATGTCCATCCTTGGTGACCAGTGGTTATCTCTGGTCATCTGTGGTCATCTCTGGTTATCTGTGGTTATTTGTGGTCATCCTTGGTGACCACAGCCATCAGTGACCACCCAATGGTCACTCAGAGTTCATCCTTGGTGACCAGTGGTCATCTCTGGTCATCTGTGGTCATCTCTGGTCATCTCTGGTCATTCTTGGTGACCACGGCCATCAGTGACCACCCAATGGTCACTCAATGTCCATCCTTGGTGACCAGTGGTCATCTCTGGTCATCTGTGGTCATCTCTGGTCATCTCTGGTCATTCTTGGTGACCACGGTGGTGACCAGCCACCCAATGGTCACTCAATGTCCATCCTTGGTGACCAGTGGTCATCTCTGGTCATCTGTGGTCATCTCTGGTCATTCTTGGTGACCATGGCCATCAGTGACCACCCAATGGTCACTCAATGTCCATTCTTGGTGATCCATGACTTCCACCATGCTTATGTCACCTATGATGGTGGTCATTGGTCATCCTTGGTGACCAGTGGTCATCTGTGGTCATCTGTGGTCATTCTTGGTGATCACAGCCATCAATGACCACTCAATGGTCACTCAATGTCCATCCTTGGTGACCACGGTCATCAATGACCACCAATGGTCATCCAATGTCCATCCTTGGTGACCAGTGGTCACCTCTGGTCATCTGTGGTCATCTTTGGTGACCACGGCCACCAATGACCACCAATGGTCAATGTCCATCCTTGGTGACCAGTGGTCATCTCTGGTCATCTGTGGTCATTCTTGGTGACCACGGCCACCAATGACCACCAATGGTCAATGTCCATCCTTGGTGGTCATCAGTGACCACCCATGGACACTCAATGTCCATCCTGGGTGACCACTGACCACTGATGACCACTCGTGATGACCCATGACCACTGATGACCACCGATGACCACCCGTGGTCACTCAATGTCCATCTTTGGTCACCAATGTCCACCTGTGGTCACTCAATGTCCACCTTTGGTCACCGATGTCCACCCGTGGTCACTCAATGTCCATCTTTGGTCACCACTGACCACTGATGACCACCCGTGGTCACTCAATGTCCATCTTTGGTCACCACTGACCACTGATGACCACCCGTGGTCACTCAATGTCCATCTTTGGTCACCACTGACCACTGATGACCACCCGTGGTCACTCAATGTCCATCTTTGGTCACCAATGTCCACCCGTGGTCAGTCAGTGTCCATCTTTGGTCACCAATGACCACCCGTGGTCACTCAATGTCCATCTTTGGTCCTGACCAGTGGTCACTCGTGGTCACTTCTGGCCACCCCAAAGTGACCAATGGTCATTCTTGGCCACTCCTGGTCACTCTGGCCACCTTAAACTGACCCCTGGTCACTCGTGGTCACTTGTGGTCACTCTGAAGTGACCGTTGGTCACTGTTGGTCACTCCTGGTCAGTCTGAAGTGACCCCTGGTCATTCTGGTCACTCACGGCCACCCCAAAGTGACCAGAGGTCGTTCTTGGTCACCCTAAAGTGACCCTTGGTCAGTCGTGGTCACTCCGAAGTGACCAATGGTCACTTCTGGCCACTCCTGGTCACTGTGGTAACTCTAAAGTGACCAATGGTCACTCGTGGCCATCTCAAAATGGCCGTTGGTCACTCTTGGTCACTTGTGGTCACTCTGAAGTGAGCTCTGACCACTTGTGGCCACTCCTGGTCACTCTGGTCACTCTAAACTGACCCCTGGTCACTCTAAAATGACCATTGGTCACTCTGGTCATTCTGGCAACCCTAAAGTGACCAGTGGTCACTCTGAAGTGACCAATGGTCACTCGTGGTCACTCTGAAGTGACCATTGGTCAGTTGTGGTCACTCTGAAGTGACCAATGGTTACTCGTGGTCACTCTGAAGTGACCATTGGTCAGTTGTGGTCACTCTAAACTGACTCCTGGTCACTTGTGGTCACTCGTGGTCACTCTGGTCACTTGTGGTCACTCTGAAGTGACCATTGGCCACTCGTGGTCACTCTGAAGTGACCATTGGTCATTCCGGTCACTGTAAACTGATCCCTGGTCACTCCTGGTCACTCTGGTCACTTGTGGTCACTCTGAAGTGACCCCTGGTCACTCTGGTCACCCTAAACTGACCATTGGCCACTCGTGGTCACTCTGGTCACTTGTGGTCACTCTGGAGTGACCACTGGTCACTCTGGTCACTCCAAACTGACCCCTGGTCACTGTGGTCACTGTGAAGTGACCATTGGTCACTCTGGTCACTCTGAACTGACCATTGGTCACTCCTGGTCACTCTGGTCACTTGTGGTCACTCTGAAGTGACCACTGGTCACTCTGGTCACTCTGAAGTGACCAATGGTCACTCTGGTCACCCTAAACTGACCATTGGTCACTCATGGTCACTCTGGTCACTTGTGGTCACTGTAAACTGACCACTGGTCACTCTGGTCACCCTAAACTGACCCCTGGTCACTCGTGGTCACTCTGGTCACTTGTGGTCACTCTGAAGTGAGAGGGGGAATTCCCCGGCAAATTTTTTAGGAAGAATTTGGGAATTTTGGGGTGAATTTAAAAAAATTTGGGGCATCAGGGACCCCAAAACTCCCAGCACGGGGCTGGATTGGGAGGAAAATTCAGGATTTGGGGAAAAATTTGGGGGTTTTGGGGTGAAATTTGGGGTTTTTGGGGCGAATTTTGGGGATTTTGGGGCCGTTTTGCGGCGCCACCATCGAGTCCTGGAGGACTCGCGGCCAGAGCGGCTTCCGGTGTTACCATAGAGACGGGGAAGGGGCGTGGCCAGAGCGGC